CGGCTGCGATGAACAGGCGAGCGGTCTCTTCGGCTGAGATCGACTTTTTGCACGCAGCGAAGTGTGCCATCTTCGTCAACCTATCCACGACGACCATCACCGCGTCGTTACCCCCAGGGTTCGAAGGTAACCCTGTGACGAAGTCCATGGTTACTTGCTGCCAGGCGCGTTCGGGCGGTGGGATCGGTTGCAATTGACCCGCCTTCCGCTTCCTTGAACTCTTCATCACCTGACACGTCGGGCACGAGCCCACGTGCTGCTGTACGTCGGTCAACAGCTCCGGCCAGTAATAGTACCGCTGCAGTTGCTGTCCTGTTTTTTCTACCCCGAAATGTCCCGAGGTAATCCCGTCGTGTGCCTCCTGCAGTAGCAGCTCCCTCAGTAGTGAGTACGCGGGTACCCAAATGCGGTTGGTGCCTGTTTTTACGTAATAAACTCCTTTTGCTTCTGCCAGTTGCTGTGAATTTCCGGTCGTGAAAAATGGGTCGGTGCGGTATCCGTGGGTGAATAGGCCAGTTAAAAGCGGGTTGGTCTGGGCGAGTAGGATGGCGTGGAGTTGGGCGGTGGGGCGGGTGAGAGCGTCGGCGATGTTGGATGCTCCTTTTTTGTACGTGACGGTGTAGTGAAAATTGGACTCGAGATAGTCCAACCAGCGAATCTGTCGTGGGTTGAGATTCGGTTGGGCGCGAAGGTACTGTAGCGAGCGGTGGTCTGTCCGTACTGTCACGTCGGCACCAGTCAGGTAACATCGCCAAACTTTGAACGCGTGCACGATCGCTAGCATCTCGCGGTCGTGTATCGGGTAGTTACGTTCGGGCGGGTGTAACTTGCGGGACTCGTACGCGATTGGCTGGAGGCCATTCCCGAAATCCTGCAACAGTACTGCTCCCACAGCGATGTCACTTGCGTCGGTGACGAGCTCGAACGGACGGTGGGGATCTGCAATGTGAAGGACGGGCGGGGAGCACAAAATATTTTTGAGGGCCGAGAAGGCAGCTTGCTCTTTCTCCCCCCACGTGTACTCAACCCCCTTCCTCAGCAGGTCAGTCAACGGGGCAGTCAGTTTCGCCATGTCGGGGACGAACCGGCGCACGTAGTTGACGAACCCCAGGAAACTCTGCAACTCGGTCAAGTTGGTCGGCGCGTGCCAAGCCTGAATCGTCGCAATTTTCTTCGGGTCTATTTCCACTCCTGCAGCTGAAATAACATGTCCCAAAAACTCCAGGCGGTCCTGTAAAAACTCACACTTAGATGCTTTGGTCAGTAGGCGGTTCTCACTCAGGATTTTAAAAACTGCTTCGATGTCTTGTAAGTGCTGTGCTCTGTCAGGGCTGTAAATCAGTATGTCGTCCAGATAAACGATGACGCACTTATCTAAAAGCGGGCGGAATGCTTCGTTCATGGTCATTTGGAAAGTGGCGGGGGCGTTGGTCAGTCCGAATGGCATGACGGTGTATTCGAAGGATCCGTAGCGTGTTCGGAATGCGGTTTTAGGGCAGTCGGGTGGGTTGACGCGGATTTGGTGGTAGCCTCCTCGGAGGTCGATTTTCGAGAAAACCCGGGCTGTGCGCAGTTGGTCGATCAGTTCGTCGGCTCGTGGGATGGGGTAACGGGATTTGATGGTAACCCTGTTCAGTGCCCTGTAGTCGATGCACATGCGAAAACCCCCGTCCTTTTTCGGTGTGAACAGTATTGGTGCGGCGAAAGGCGACGAACTAGGGCGAATGAATTCCTTTTCTAGCAGGTAATCGAGCTGCTTCCTTAGTTCGTCTAGTTTGGGTTGGGTCAGTCGGAACTGTCGCTGTACTGTTGGCTGTGCCCCCGGTTCCAGTTCTATCCTGTGATCGTGCGGTCGCTGAGGTGGCAGTCCCGTCGGCAGGTCATCCGGGAAAATGTCACTGTACTGTTGTAACAGTGCCGCCAGGTCACTCGGTACGTCGGTCAGCAGTTTCTGTAAATCGCCTCCCTTGTCTGCTGCCTCGGCTTCCCGAATGTCAACCGCGTACACGTCGGCTCCGGCCGCAACAGCGCGTTTCATCGTGATCGCGTTGACACGCACCGACGAAGACTCAGGCGAGCCCCAGCGAGGTAAGGCGATGCTGTTACCGTTCACTCGCACGGTGCAGTCACCCGTCGTCCAGTCAATTCGCGGGTTGTGTCGTCGCAGCCAATCACGCCCGAGTAAAATGTCGGTTCCGTCGAGGGTCGTTGCGAGCATTTCCTGACTAAACGTGAAGTTACCCCCGCATCGAATCCGAACTCGGTCTACGCGTTCCCGTATTGCCAGCGGCGTGCCGTCTACCAGTCGTGCGTCGATCTCAGGTAAGCATCGGTCCAGTGGCAGTCGCAGTTTTCGTGCTGTAGCAGTGTTAATGAGGCTGTGGCTGGCTCCCCCATCTACGAAGATTTTAACTAAGTCCGTCCCAATTTTCCCACTGAGCAGTATAGGGCTATCTACCGTGGTACCCTCCTTATTCGGCCGGGTGTGGTCGATTGCGTGAACCGGCACAATCACTCGGTGAGGGTCGGTTGGGTCGGGCGAGCGGCGTGACCTGTCAGTAGAGGGCCCGTCTGCTACTGACTTCCAGCGTTTCCCTGCTGCTTGGTCTGTGTCTGCTGCTCAGCTTCCCCCTTTCCCTTAGCGTTTTCCGGGCATTCGCTCTTGCGATGTCCCGGCCGATTGCACGCAAAGCAGCGCCCTTTGAACGGTGCGGCAGCGGCATTTGCGGCGACGGCGCGTATCGTGGCGCTCTCGTTCGTCCCACGAGGCCGATGTCCCCAGGTGTTGTTTCCGTAGGACCCCGGTCTCGGTCGGCGAAAGAAGTCGAGCTTCTCCGCCATAGCGAGAATTTCCTGAAACTCAGTGACGCCGCGAAGCTGGATTTCCTGAGCGATGTCCTGCTTCAGGCCGCCGATGTAGCGGTCGATGCGTTCGCTCTCATGCATGTAGCCCACCTGCTCGCATAGCGCCAGAAATCCGCTCGTGTAATCCTGGACGGAACCGAGTTGGCGCCAAGTGCGGAGCTTCTGTCGCGCCGAGATCGAGGCCGCGATTGGCTCAAATCGAGCGCGCAGACCTGCGCACCACGCGTCCCACGTGCGATCTGAGCCAATCGCGGCCTCGATCTCGGCGCGATACTGGGGCACCTCCACGAAATACGACGGCGCCCAGGGTCCGGTTTGTCCTTCCCGTGTCGGTAGTGTCGCGTAGTCGGTCGGCTTCGTGACGATGACGCGCCACCAGTCCATGGCGGGTCCTCGCAGCAACGACACGGCGTATCGAATCTTCGCCGAGTCCTCCGAGACGTAGTTGGCGTCGAAGAAAACATTCATTGTGAATAACCACGCCTGAACGGTAGGACCACCCCGTTGACTCGGGTCAAAGCATGGCGGGCGCTGCGGTTTCAGCGGCATCGGTGACGGCAGTCCCGAATCGTGGGTTGGTGCCGAAATCGTGACGCGAGGCTGACTTGGGGCCGCAGGCGTCGCTCTGGGGTGTGTCGTGCCGTGGTCGTCGTCTCCGTCGGGGCGGACGACGCCATCACTGGCCGCGCTCGCGGGTTGCCCCACACTCCCGTGTTGTGATGTTGAGGGTGCAGGTTGAATCGGAGTGCCAGGTGCTTGGGATTGTGCTCTCATGAGGTCATTTTGCAGTGATGAGCGTTCTGCCGTCAATGCCGCGATTTCCTCGGAGCTTTCGTGCAGTTGTCGCAGCAGATCGTTCAAACGCTCCTGCGTGAGGGTGGTGACGTCGATGTTTTCGGCCATGACGAAGGGCGTCGGCTCGTCTTAGTCTAGGCGCAGTCGTGGCTGCACGCGTTTACGAGAGAACGCGAGGACAGCGGCTCCTAGGGGCTAAGGTGCGTGAGTCCCTTCGAGTGAAAAATCAAAAGTTGATTTCCTGGTGTGCGGAGATGCGCGGTCCGAAAGAAAGGGGCTCTGATAACCAAGTGTTACGGGTGCAATGAATCGAGGTAGCGAGAATTGCACTAAGGTGTCAAACGAGTACAAAATGTGAGCGAAGGCATGAGCGAGCATTTATACGCGAAACATGCAAAACGGTAACGCGGTGCGTGCGAACTTGCTAGTGCTACGCTGGAGCGAGGCTCGGGCTAGTCCCGAAGCGTAGGCCGATACGGCCATGCCAGCAGTGCGAGGTTTGGCAAAACAGTGCGCGCGAAGTCGGCGAAGTTCCGTTAGCAGTAACGGGCGAACAGTCGGCTGTTGCTGTACGCGATGTAGTCGGCTCCGTAAGGAATGCCTGAGAAAATTCCTTACACAAACAGAAGCCAACCCAAGAACAGGACAGTCAACCAATCCCAATGCCAGCAGCAGGTCAAGTCCCAGTGCGAATCCAAGCGATCTCCCGCAAACTACAATACTGTACCAGTCAGCCACTCTCCAGTAGGAACCAAATGCGTTGGCGGCACCAGACCAAATAGTGGCTAGGCTGGAGTTAGGCTTTGTCATGACTTGACCAAAGGACTGGAACAGCTTAGTTGGTAGGCTGTCGTTCCTAAAGCTTGACCTTACATGATGGTTCACCTAGCATTGCGTCTGGTTCTACGGAGGGCACTAAGAAGTGCAGAACGGACAATATTGCGCAGTAGGAATCATGATTTCTGTTTTTTCGGAATCCGCAAAACCTAGTCAGTAACACTCGCGAGGCGCGTGTATACGACTGCGTGTAGATTCTTGACCGTTAGCATGATGCTTTCCAGAGCAAGTTTTCGTCTTTTCGAAAACGCGTCGCGGAAACTGACATACAGGAATCGCACGACCATGACATGAACTGACACGATACCGCAGCGCATGCAGTAACGCGACACGATACCACACCAATCGCATGATACAGGCCCAAACGACATGACACCACTCGAAATGTCGTGACTTGACGGGACATGGCACGACGACGGGACATGTAACGAAGACGGAACATGACACGACACGGTTCCTGAAGCCGCTGATCCGGTCCACTCACAACCCTCGGCGTGCCAGCGATGGCGCTGTCGTTCTTCCGAGGGTTCTTCAAGGGAGGGCTGGTGGAGGAGGACTTAGATGCGTTCTATCCCGTGCGCCAGGACGTGCAGGTCGGCACCATCAGCAAGTTCCGACCGCGGGTGAGTTCCACCAATCCCGAGTGAGTCAGGTTGTTTGGGACTGCTCAAAACAGACTCACTGTCGCCTGGACGCGTGCTACCCCGTGCGCCAGGCGTGCGGGTCGGCAGCGTCAGGAAGTTCCGACCGCAGGTGAGTTGTGACCGCGGGTGAATCAGGAAACAGGTGGCCTTTAAGAAAAGAGAAAAATTCCAAGTCACTCCGTGCTCTTCGTGTGCCAGGAGCGTCAGGATGTGCCGCGGGTGAGTTTCTATCCCGGGTGAGTCAGCCATCGAGCACCTCTTTCCTCGTGTGTCTTGAATCTTCCCCTTCCCGCTTTCATGATCAACTATTCCGTTCTGCCGTCAAACTTGACAAACCACAGAGTCTGTGACACAGACGCCTCCTCCCCCTAATGCATCCCTCTTCCCACTCCCCCTGACGGTATGATGTGGCATGTTCTGTTGTGCCGGCATGACATGGCATGGCATGGCATGGCATGGCACATGACGCCATGGCATGACATGGTATGGCATTGCATCTGATCTCATGGGATGGCATGGCGTGACATTTTATGGCATGGCATGGGATGGCAGGCGAGCAAGCGGCTGTCGGAGGAGAAGTGGAACGACATGTTTGATGCGGAGGGGCGCATGGTCAATCTTGAGGCTGCTCTCCGCCTCATACAGCGCGGGGTACGTATGTGGCCTGCTGAGGGGTATGCATGTTTGGCTAGCTGCTTGAGTGCTCTCAAGGATGGATTTTGTGTGCTTAGAATTCACCACGCATGGTCAACCTTGACGCTGCCACTCCGCCTCATACAACGCGGGGTATGTATTTGTGTCATGTTGAGTTGGATTTGTCCTGCTGAGTGGGATGTGTCATGCTGAGGTGTGGTGTGGGAGTACCTGCTAGGGCTGGTCAGCCCTGCAGCCACGACTGCTGAGTTCGGCAAACTATATGGCATGTGCAGAGAGGCATATTCTGCTCTGCTTCTAACCCGTTCCCCCCTCATTTCCCTGCCCGTGTTTCCCCACTGAAACCTCTTCTTCCCCACAACTGTGAGCCGGGCATTCTCCCAGAGGTGTGGGAGTACTTGTTGGGGTTGGACAGTCCTGCAGCCACGAGTGGCGAGTGTGGCGAGCTGAGGAGCATGCGCAGGGAGGCGAATGCTGCTCTGCTTGTAACCCCTCCCATGTTTTTTTCCTGGCAATCCAACCCCCCCACCCCCACCCCCCCTCAGGGCTGTGAGCCGGGCATTCGGCCGGAGGTGTGGGAGTATCTGCTGGGGCTGGTCAGCCCGGCAGCCACAAGTGGCGAGTGTGGCGAGCTGAGGGGCATGCGCAGGGAGGCATATGTTGTCCCCCCTCTCATTTCCCCGCCGTTGTTCTCTTACTGATACCTCTTCTTCCCCCAGGGTTGTGAGCCGGGCATTCGGCCGGAGGTATGGGAGTATCTGCTGGGGCTGGTTAGCCCGGCAGCCACGAGTGGCGAGTGTGGCGAGAGGCATGTATAGAGTCACGTGCTTTGTGGAGAGAGGCATGTATAGAGTCACGTGCTTTGTGGCGAGAGGCATGTATAGAGTCACGTGCTTTGTGGAGAGAGGCATGTATAGAGTCACGTGCTTTGTGGCGAGAGGCATGTATAGAGTCACGTGCTTTGTGGAGAGAGGCATGTATAGAGTCACGTGCTTTGTGGCGAGAGGCATGTATAGAGTCACGTGCTTTGTGGAGAGAGGCATGTATAGAGTCACGTGCTTTGTGGAGAGAGGCATGTATAGAGTCACGTGCTTTGTGGCGAGAGGCATGTATAGAGTCACGTGCTTTGTGGCGAGAGGCATGTATAGAGTCACGTGCTTTGTGGCGAGAGGCATGTATAGAGTCACGTGCTTTGTGGCGAGAGGCATGTATAGAGTCACGTGCTTTGTGGAGAGAGGCATGTATAGAGTCACGTGCTTTGTGGCGAGAGGCATGTATAGAGTCACGTGCTTTGTGGAGAGAGGCATGTATAGAGTCACGTGCTTTGTGGCGAGAAGCATGTATAGAGTCACGTGCTTTGTGTCATCCCTTTCCTCCTCTCATTTCTCCTCTCAAACCTTCCCTAGGGCTGTGAGCCGGGCATTCGGCCGGAGGTATGGGAGTACCTCTTGGGGCTGGTCAGCCCGGCAGCCACGAGTGGCGAGTGTGGCGAGCTGAGGAGCATGCGCAGGGAGGCATATGCTGCAATGCTCAAGGAGTGCCAGCTCGTGGACCCGGTCATTGGCAGTGGCTTCGTGGTTGACTTTCCCAGAGTGCAGGTGGGTGCAGAGTGGTGAAGAGCGGTGAAGGGTGGTGGAGAAGGGTGGAGAGGGGTGGAGTAGGGCGGACATGGATGCATGACAGAGTAGGAGGGGGGAGGCGTATGCTGCAATGCTCAAGGAGTGCCAGCTCGTGGACCCTGTCATTGGCAGCGGATTTGTGGTCGACTTCCCCAGGGTCCAGGTGGGTGCAGAGCGGTGAAGGGTGATGGTGGTTGCAGAGGGGTGGAGACGGGTGGAGGTGAGTGCATAAGAGAGGGGGAGGCGTATGTTCCCTACCCCCTAAACCTCCCCCCCCCCCCCCCCCCCCTTCCCCCCACCCACGCCCACCCCCCACTCCCTCCTTTTCCTCCCACAATGCCAACCTGCCAGGACGATGGCACCGAGGTTGATCTCCCAGACTCCTAAGTCGGCCCGCTGCGCCTCGTGCCACCCATCCCGCCCCTCTCCCCTCACCACCACCCCCCCATCCCCCCTCCCCCCGCTCCTTCAATGGCCCCTAATGCCAGGATGATGGCACAGAGGTCGATCTCCCGGACTCCTACGTCGGCCCGCTGCGCCTCGTGCCGCCCATCCCGCCCCTCTCCCCTCACGCCCCCTGTTTTCCTCTCCAATCTCCCACCTCCCCCTCCCTTCCCCAGGACGATGGCTCAGAGTTCGATCTCCCAGACTCCTATACCGGCCCGCTGCGCCTCGTGCCGCCCATCCCGCCCCTCGACGCCGCGTGGGAGGAGACCGGGGCGCAGCTGGGGGTGCTGGAGGAGGGCGAGGAGGAGGAGGAGGAGGAAGGGAAGGGGGAGGGGGGCGAAGTGGAGGGAGGTACAAGTGACAGTGGTGGTGGTGGTCGTGGTGGTGGCAGTGGCACTGGCGGTGGTGGCAGCAAGGGGAGGGGGCGGAGGGCGAGTGAGACGGCAGTGGACGAGGCGATGAGGACGTGGGCGGCAGAGAGGGCAGAGGTGGTGGCGCGCGTGGGGCTGGACCGAATCCACAAGTGGCGCCAGGGGCTCTATCAAATAGGTCAGCATTCGGGTGAAATGCACTTTTGGGTTCAACCCAATTGATATATGAGTCGAACCAAATGCTGTACGAGTCAATGCAGAGGTGGTGGCGCGCGTGTGGCTGGACCGAATCCACAAGTGGCGCCAGGGGCTCTATCAAATAGGTCAGTAAAAGCCTACACCAAGAAAGATAATCACTCAGGTGAAGTGGCACCAGGGGTTTTGCCACATGGGTTGGCAAACAGGGTCAACGAGTTGGCTGGCCGCTGGCCTGGAAAATCCGTTCGCCATCCTCCACCCTTTCACCCCTCAAGCTGTCTGTCACCACCATCTGTCAGCGTAAGTATCCCACATCTTTGTTCAAATCCCTTCCCTAATCCCTTCTCCCATCTCCCTTGCCCCATTCCCTCCCCACGCCCCTCCCGATCCCCTCTCCATCTCCTATACCCCATCCCCTCCCCACACCCTCTCCCCCGCCCGCCCTATCTCCCCTGCAGGAGTAGATGTGACCCGGGCCAATCGCTGGCTACTCCTCTTTGAGAGCAGCAGCAGCCGCGCGCTCCTCATGAGCGTGCTGGCGGTGTACGCGTGGTTCGACCCCTCCAACCCCCCCTTCTGGGCCATCCCCCTTCTCCCATCTCGCTGCAGGGGTAGACGCCACAAGAGCTGATCGCTCACTGCTCTTCTATGAGAGCAGCCACAGCCGAGCGCGCCTCATGAACTTACTGGTGGTATATGCACGGTTCGACCCTTCTGCCCCCCACCCCCAATCACCCCACCCTTCCCCCATCACCCCTCCCCACTCCCCTTTTCCACTGCAGGAGTAGACGTGACAAGAGCCGATCGATCGCTGCTCTTCTTTGAGAGCAGCCGCAGCCGAGCGCGGCTGATGAACGTGCTGGCGGTGTACGCGTGGTTTGACCCCGAGGTGGGGTACTGCCAGGGCATGAGCGACCTCATGTCCCCCATGGTCGTGCTCTACCCCGACGACGCCGACGCGTTCTGGGCGTTCGAAAGGCTCATGAGGAGAGTGGTGAGTCGTGGGCTGGTTGGAGGACGTCATGAAAAGATGAGCATTCTTCCAACTTGAACAGAAGGGCACAGGGCTGGGCATTCAGAGGCAGATGAGCCTGTGGGAAGCACCTCAGTGCTCTCTCTCTTATCCTTCAACGACTTGCATCTTCACCCCATCTTTCTACTTGTCTATGCGCCACCAGAGGGAGGACTTCATGAACACGGACACGGGGCTGGGCATTCAGAGGCAGATGAGCTGGAAGCGGCTCAGGTTTCTCTCTCCCATTTATCAACCTCTTAAGTCCTTACCCCTGTACCTGTGTGCTCGCTGTCACTGCGTGCTAGAGGGAGGACTTCATGAACACGGACATGGGGCTGGGCATTCAGAGGGAGATGAGCCTGCCGTTCGTGTGAGATTCATGAGCTCGTTTGTCCCCCTTGTACCTGTGTACTGTCTGTCACTGACTCCCAGAGGGAGGACTTTATGAACACGGACACGGGGCTGGGCATTCAGAGGGAGATCAGCCGCCTCTCCCACATGGTCTACACTCTTGACCCTGAGCTGCATGCTCACTTAGGTAAGTGTGAGTGTTCTCATGCGCTTGTGCGAGCTGCATGCGCACCCCCCACCTTCCGCCTCTCCCACATGGTCTACACTCTTGACCCTGAGCTGCATGCTCACTTAGGTAAGTTCGTCACTTGGGTGAGTGCATGCATTCACTCTATGCATGCATTCACTCTATGCATGCATTCACTCTATGCATGCTTTCACTCTATGCATGCTTTCACTCTATGCATGCATTCACTCTATGCATGCATTCACTCTATGCATGCTTTCACTCTATGCATGCTTTCACTCTATGCATGCATTCACTCTATGCATGCTTTCACTCTATGCATGCTTTCACTCTATGCATGCATTCACTCTATGCATGCTTTCACTCTATGCATGCATTCACTCTATGCATGCTTTCACTCTATGCATGCATTCACTCTATGCATGCTTTCACTCTATGCATGCTTTCACTCTATGCATGCATTCAGACGAGATTGGCTCTGGCTTGCTGCATGCATGCATGCTCCCACTCCCTCACTCTCGTCGCTATACTATACCCACACCCCTCCCCTCTCCCACCACCCATCTGACGAGATAGGCGCAGGCACCATGTTCTTCACGGTGCGCACCGTCATGGCCATGTTCCGCTATGAGCTCTCTACAAGCCCTCCTTCCTCTGCGCATGCCCTCTGTTTCCCACCCATTCTTCCCTTTTCCCTCTCGTTCTCTCTCCCATCAGACGAGATAGGAGCCGGCACCATGTTCTTCACCGTCCGCACCGTCATGGCCATGTTCCGCTATGAGCTCTCTGCGACCTCTCCTTCCTTGTTGCATGCCCTCCGACCCCCTCACATTCTTCCCCTCTTCCTCCTCTTCCCTCCCCCCCCACCTCATCAGACGAGATAGGAGCGGGCACCATGTTCTTCACGGTGCGCACAGTCATGGCCATGTTCCGCCGCGAGCTCTCCTTCGCTGATGCGCTCTACCTCTGGGAGGTGAGGGTCAACGTCGTTGTTTGATTCAAGCCGCTTCGTTGTTTGATTCAAGCCGCTTCAAAAGTTGTTGACTGCAGGCTGTGATGGTGAATCCGCGCTGTGAGGGTCAGCTTTGCCCTTCTATATCGTGAAAAGTTCCCCTCCCCTCTCGCTCGCCTTTGGCCAACCAGTCCATCACTCTTCCCATTTCCCTGGCGCTCCCCACCATTTCCCCCCGGTCATACTTTCCGAATTCTCTCTCCCCCCTACTCCCCTCTCGACGTTCAGATGACGTGGGCGTGGGACTATGTCGCATGCAATGCAGCGCTGCTGCCTCTGGCCGACCAGGCCCGTTCCATCCCCTTGCCGCACCTCCCTCCCCCACCTCCCCCACCTTCCCCCTCACCCAGCCCTCTTCCTTCCCCCCCGCTCCTGCTTCTTCCTCGCTCCTTCTTCCCCTCCCTGGCAGATGATGTGGGCGTGGGACTATGACGCGTGTAGTGCAGCGCTGCTCCCTCTAGCAGACCAGGCCATCTTCCACACGGCCCGCCACCTGCCGCACCTCACCATGGACCGCCAAGCCTACATCGCCGCCACCGCCGCTGCCGTCCGGGCGGCGGCTTCCGTCCTACTTGACGCAGATCTCTTCACGGCTATAGCTGTTGATATCGCCAACGCCACCCGCGTGCCCCTCTCTGCTGTTCCCAGTGGCACTGGTGCTTCCAGTGCTGGCGGCGCTGGGAGCATTAGCAACAGCAGCAGCAGCGGCAGTGGTGGTGTTGTTGGTGGTGGTGGGTCGCTTTCGACGTATGCGTCTGGCTCGGTGGGTACTGCAAGCAGCATTGCCGGCAGCGGCGGCACGTCGGCGTTCGCAGCGCCACATGAGGATGCGGATCGAGGCTCAGTGGACCTGTTTTCCTCCCCTCAGAGGCTGGAGATCGCCCTTATGGCTGCCGAGCTGGCTGTGACTCAGGCTGCTGTGCACGCTGTGCCTGATACCCCTGCTTCTGGGGCTCTTATGGGGAGGAAAGGGGGTGGGGGAGTGGGTGGGAGGGAGTTTGTTGTGCCAGAGGAGTGGGAGGACGGTGGAGGGGTGGAGGAGGGAGAGGAGGGGTGGGAAGGGGAGGAGGAGGATGGGGAGGCATATGGAGAGAGTGAGAGTGAAGAGGAGGATGAGGAGGACGAGGAGGGGGAGGGAAGTAGGAGTGAGAGTCAGGGCAGTGACTTAGAAGGTGAGAGCGGGGAGGAGGATCAGGAGAGCATGGGGTATAGTTCAGAGGAGGACAGGGAGGGAGAGGAGGGCGCAAAAGGGGGAGAGAGTGAGGGGGAGGAGGAGGAGGAGGAGGAGGAGGAGGAGGAGGAGGAGGGGGAGTGGGGGAGGGAGAGGCGCCTGTCTGAGGCAGCGGCTAGAATAGCGGGAGTGTGGGAGGAAGAAGAGGAGGAAGAGGAGGAAGCTGAAGAGGTGGGGGTTGCAGGGGTAGAAGTGGGAGGGGAAGGAGGGGCAGCAGTTGGAGGGGCAGATAGAGGGGTGAGCATGGTAGCAGCGGAAGGGGCAGGCACAGACACAGCAGGGGGATCGATTGGAGTCAGTTGGAGTGCAACTGGTAGTGAGCCGTCCTTCTTTGGCCGCATGCGGTCCCTGTGGGGCAAGAAGGACGATGCTGCTGCTCCTGCTGCTCCTGCTGCTCCTGCTGTTCCTGCTCCTGCTACTGCTCTCTTCTTGTGGGGCAAAAAGGACGACCCTCCACTTCCCCCTCTTCCTCCTGCTGCTCCTGCTGCTGCTGCTGATGCTGCAGCTCATGTAACAGCTGCTACTAGCGCTGCTGCTGCCAGTGGGGGCGAGGAGAGGGTGGGCGGCAGTAGGAAAGTGCATCAAAGCCACTCTGCCAGCGAGCTGACACACGTTCACGGAAGCACCACCAGCGGCACCACCACCAGCGGCACCACCGCCACCACCACCAGCAACACCCACCCACATGCGACTGAAACTTTCATGGCACCAACACACTCGAAAACCAGATCTGATGGCACAGCAGCCACAGAAGCAGCAGAGCCATCAGCAGCTGTAGCGGCAGAGCCCACCCAGGCAGCAGCAGCAGTGGGTGTAGCAGGCAGCAGCAGCGAGGGGCTATTTGATGGGTTGTTTGGCTTCACCCGCAGCATCACCATCCACGTCATGGGCAGCAGCACCACGGCCCGCCCGCCCGCCAGCAGCAGCACCACCCGCCCGCCCCTCCCTGCCTCCTCCTCTCCTCCGTTCGCCTCCGCGCACAGGCACAGCAGCAGCAACGCGGAAGACACAGTGCTAGATCTCTCTGCTGTGTCCTCCCGAGTGGCCTTTGATCCGTCTAAGGACCTTCCTCCGGATGAGAGGCTGCCGACTAGCCAGCAGCTGGAGGCTCGGAGGAGGGTGGCGTTGAGAGGGGGTGTGGGGAGCTGTGTTGAGCGGGGGCAGGGCGAGGGGAGGGGGCGGATTGTGCGGTCTGTGTCAGGGGGAAACTGGAAGGAGAGCGAGCCTGGGAGAGAGGGAGGAGGGCAAAGAGAGTGGAAGGAGGGGAGAGAGGGGAGAGAGGGGAGAGAGGGGAGAGAGGGGGATGATGGGTGCGGAGGAGGTGGGGGCGGTGGGGAAGGGGTTTTGGCTCGGAGTGGGTATGGGAGAGCAGGGTTCGACACAGGGAGGCCTCCTCCTGCTGTAGCTCGGAAGGGCCGAGGGAGTGAGAGAGAGGAGGCGGAGAGGAGGAGGGAGGAGGACGGGGACGAGCGGAGAGGAGAGAAGATGGGGAGGACAGGAAATGAGGGGGTGGATGGCAGAGCAGGAAGCAACGGTGCAGATTCTCCAGCTGCGAGGCCACTCCAGATGGACGGTCAGGATCGGCCGCCGCTCCCGCTGCGCAGATACCAGTCAATGGGGACGGAGAGAGAGATGAAAATCCCCAGCATCACCACCGGCAGCACCATGACCAGCAGCAACAGCATGAGCAACAAGGGGAACAACTGTACCAGTGGTAGACAACAAAGCTCCAACTCCACTGGAGGGGCTTCTCTAAGCATCATTGCTGCAGGAGCTGCAGGTTCTTCTATATCTAGCAGCATCGGAGCTTCTTCAGGCTCTAGCCGCTCCCTGCAGCGCCCCATGGGAGGCTCGCTCAAATTCGACGTTCCCCGCATTGACGTCAACGCACTCCCCACCATCCTCGCCCCGCCCTCGCACCCCTCCCACCCGTCCCAGCGGGCCCGTACCCACCTCCCCTTCCCGCTCTCCTCCCACCACCAGCCGTCCTCGTCCTCCTTCCACTCGCGCCTGCTCCGCCGGCAAAACAGCTCTCAGAAACAGAAGGCTGCAGCGGTGGCCGTGCAGCGGCAGCAGCAGCGGCAGAAGCAGCAGCAGCTGGAGCAGCAGCTGCAGCAGGTGAAGCAGAAGCACGGGTTTCTGAGGAGGTATCAGAGCATGCATCCGGGGCTGATGCTGTTGCGCCCGCTGCACCTACCACTCGTGTGGAAGCAGGAACAGCAGTTGGCAGAGCTGAAAAGCCACAGAAGCATGAAGGAGCATCGGAGCATGGGAGAGGCAGCAGCAGCTGCTGCTCACGACTTCTCTGCTGCGCTTTCTTCTGTTGCTGCATCTGCTGCAGTGGTCAAGGGCAGCAGTGAAAGTTTTTGGGGTTTCAGTCGAGATTTGGAGCAGAATGAGAAGCCCACTGCTGCTACAGTTACAAGCAATTGGAGCCCAGCCGTGGTTTTTTCTGCCGGACCTTCTTACACTGCTGCTGCTTCCGCCGCTGCCGCTACAGCTGCTACAACTACGTCTCTCAGCAGAACAGGAGGCACCAACCACAATGCCACCCGCAGCTTCACAGCAGATTCCTCTTTCAACCCTTCCATCACCCCCCCTTCCTCTCGCACCCTCTCCCGCTCCTTCACCTGGGCTGATTCCGGGCCTTACAGGCGGGATAATCTTAGGTTTGCGGCCACCATTGCTCTGCGCGAACCTTCCTCCCGAACCAGCTTCCGCAGGCACGGGAGCCCGGCGCTAGGCTCGGCACGGAGCGCTGGTGGTCGCTCGGCGAGGTCCCGCAGGGAGAAGCTGCGGAGGGGGGTGAGTTTCGGTTCGGAGCCAGACCTGGGTTCGGGAAGAGGCTCGGGTGGAGGGTTTGGATCACCATCGGAGCAGCAACGGAGGAGAAGCTCTGAGGTTCGGAGGGAGGGAAGGCATGAAGGAGCAGATGGGGAAGAAGAAGGAGGAGCGCCAATAGCAGCAGCAGCAGTTGCAGCGACGGCGCCTTCAGGAGTTGGGAATATGAATGTGAGGCGGGTAAGAAGCGATGAAGAGCACTTGTCTTCCGTTAGCAGCAGCAGCAGTTGCAGCGTTAACCTGGTTCCTCGGGCCATGCCACCTCTCCCCTTGAGAGACAGTCCGAAAGCACCCATAGGCGCCGTGAAGGGCGGCCCTAAAGGTAGTCCAAAAACACCCATAGGCGTCGCAAAGGACAGTCCGAAGCCGCCCATAGGGGCCCTGAAGGGCCAGCAGGACAGTCTGGGGTCGCCCATGGGGGGTATGCTCAGAGACAGCCCGAAAACGCCCCTGAGCGTGACGCAGAGGGAGCTGGGGAGGGCAGATAGCCCCAAGATCCCTGCTCTGGAAGGGGCGTTGCGCAGGGAGAAGGATGGCACCTCGCCGTTGTCGGGCCCTACGCCTGCAGTGCCGTTGCTAGCAGTGCCTGCACCCACGCGTGCGACGTTTGAGTGGAGCCAGAGGCATATGAGAGGGCATTCTCCCAAGGAGGGCTCCTCGCCCTCGTTTCTCCGCTCCCCTGCTGCTGATGCAAGTGCTCCTGCTGCTGGCGCAGCCGCAACCGCCGCCGCCGCCCCCGCCGCCGCCGCCGCTGCTGCTGCTGCTATCAGTACTGCTGTAGTGGTTGGGTCTGCCCCTGTTGGTCCTCAATGGGGTAACGAGAGCAGAACAGGGGGCGGCAGCAAGGACGATTCGAGTGCTCCTCTGCAGCGACTAAGGCCCCCCCGTGTTGAGCTCCCTGAAACTGCCGCTGGCACTGCCGCCGGTGCTGCTGCTGTTGCTGCCGCTGGCGCTGGTGCTGCTGGCGTTGCTGCTGCAGCTGGCTCCGACACAAAGCCTTCTCTCTTCCTGCCTCCCAGGTCGCCTGGAACTTTCTCCCACAAGCCCTCCCGCTCTCTCCCTTCACCCTCTTCCTCTGCCTCTGCTCGCCCTGCCTCACCTGCTGATCTGCCCATTGCAGTGGGAAAGCGGAGGCAGGCCGGCAGCAGCATGGGTGGCGCTGCTGGTGCTGGTGCTGGTGGTGGTGCTGGTGGTGGTGCTGGTGCTGGTGCTGGTGCTGGTGGTGGTGCTGGTGGTGGTGCTGGTGGTGGTGGTGCTGCTCGCACTAGCCATTTTCCCCTAGGCCTGCCTCCCATATCTCCTAGGGTCGGCTCAGCAGGCTCGGGCACCGAGGCTGCAGGTTCGGCATCCGGCAGCATGTTCGGGCACGGCTGGGGAGGCTCCTCTAAGTCCCCTCGCTTCCTGCCGGCTGCTCCCACCATGGCTGGTATCACAGGAGGAGGCATAGACGCAGGCAGCACAGCAGGCAGCACAAGCAGCAAGGCCGGCAAACCGAAACACGAGGCTAAACCAAACCACGAAGCAGAACCGAAGCGCCAATCGGCACCCGAACTGGGCATTGGTATTATCCATACAGGGCCCCGTGTACAAGAAGATCAGGAGGTCGATCTGATGCCAGAGGGAGCACTGGAGGAGCCAGACGCGCTACAAGACGCCTTACCAGACGACTCACCGGGCGACCCACCACCAGACGCCCTACCAGACGTGCCATTCCTCTTCCCACCCTCCAAGTCCCTCGCTAGAGCGTCCTATGAAGGCAGAGGGGGGTCGATGCATGAGAGTGGAACCCAAATGAGCAAAAACCATCCTCATCATCAACCCTCTCACTTGTTCCCCCACTCGAGGTCTCTGTCTGGCGCCTCTCCCCCCTCTCCTGCTAGCATCTTCAAGGCTCCCCTCCGCCGATTGAACCTCAGGGTTCCCCCTGAATTACACCTGAATCTCAAGTCACCCCGGGCGGAACACCCTCCAAAATCCCCGGGTTCCGTGCCCTTTGCCCTCCCTTTTGAGGTGACTCTTGGGCTGAAATCTCCTGGTCCGTTCAGAATCCCCCCTGAGCTAAGCGCTGGAATGAAGTCCCCTCGGCCGTTTGTTCCTCCTGACCTGCTTAAATCCCCGCTGGCGCTTAAATCCCCGTCTTCTAGAGATTTCCTGGCTAAGATTTTCGACGATACGAACCGAGCGACGATGGGGTCGAGTGCGGTGAAAGGGGGTGCCAAAGGGTGGCACAGCCTTCCGCGGGAGGCAAGAGGGGTGATGGGAGGGCGTGAGGGGGAGGAGGGGAGGGAGCAGGGGAGGCGACACATAGACAAGGAGAGTGGGCAGGGTGGGGAGTGGTTGGGAACGCCTCAGAGGAGTTTAAGTGGGGAACGGAATCAAAGGGATAAAGTAAAACCCACTCATCACAGAAGCGCCAGTGGCGAGGGAGGAATGAAGGGGTTTTGGGGGTTGCAGAAGGCAGGGGAAGCAACGGGTGAGAGCGATAAGGAGAAAGAGGCAGGCGGGGGAGCAGAGGAAGGCACGAGTGGCCCGCGGGAAGCAGCGGTATCGAGTGTAAGGGTGACTGAGAGAGGGGGGGAGGAGACAGCAGATGTGATAGCTATGGGTGGGGCATTGAGTGAAGGGGTAGGGGAGGATGGGGAGCGCAAGGAAGTGTCTGAAAGGGGGAGGAAGGGTGGTGAAGCGGGGCAAGAGGCAGATGCGGAAGCGGACTGGCAGGGATTCAGCGTGGTGCACAGCCCTTCGCTGCCCTTGGCTCCTCCTCCTGCCGCTGCTCCTGCTGCTGCTCCTGCTGCTGCTGTGGTTGCTCCTGCTCCTGCTCCTGCTCCTGCTCTTGCTCCTGCTCTTGCTCCTGCTCCTGCTCCTCCTCCTCCTCCTGCTGTTGCTGCACCTGCCGCTCCTGCAGCAGGCACAGAGGAAGCCTTTCACTTCAAGCCTCTCTCGTCTGCCACAGCACCTAAAGTACTGCCACCACCACCCCCAGCCTTCTCCGCACCAGCTGCGACAACCACACTACCATCGTCATCGTCACCATCCTCCTCTTCCTCCACAGTACTGGCAACAGCAGCAACAGCAACAGACAGCCCAAGCAGCACCACCAGTCCCATCTCCCAAACCTCTCCCTCCCTAGCCTCAAGCACAGGCTCGGGCTCAGGCTCGGGCTTAGGCTTGGACCGCAGGCGCCCCTCAATCCCGCCTCTCATGGTCCTCGCCCCGTCCGCACCTCTCCCCAGCTCCATCACCAAACCTGCCGCCGAGCCTCCGGCCTCCCCTACCGAGTCTAACCTATCGTCCCCTGCTCTGTCCGTTGCTGAGATCCCGTCCCCACAGGGGGAGGTGGATGAGGAGGGGGTGCTGGTGGGGGGAGGAGAGGAGGATGGGGAGGTGGAGGTTGAGAGGATGACGACGTTCTGTGTGCTGGCGATTCTGCTGGAGATGAGGGAAGACCTGGTGCAGTACGCTCAGGGGCTGGACGATGTGGTACATGTGAGTGACCCGTGTGGGGCATGTTGGGCATGTTGGTGCATGTGAGTGGGGTATGTGTGGTGAGCATGCATGCTGGCGATCCTGCTGGAGGTGAGGGAAGACCTGGTGCAGTACACTCAAGGGCTGGACGCCGCTGTGCATGTGAGTGGGGCACTTAGGGTATGAGATTGGGGCATGTGAGTTGCACAGGCATTGCATCAACCAAGTATCTTTCATTTCATGCGTGGTGTCTTCCTTCCTCTCAACTTTCTTGCTCCTCTCAACCTTCCCCAATTCCCCTCTCCTCCCCACCTCCCCATTACCCCCCCACCCCGCTCACTCTCTGTCTCCCCCTTCTGTTCTCTCTCGTTCTCTCCTGCCCCGTCCCAGTATTTCAACCTTGCAGCTACCAGTTGGAATATAAAGAAGCTCTGCAAGAAGGCAGTGACATACCATCGCAAATATCTTTACCTGGTAAGAATGCTAGTCCACACCTTTCTTGCAACCACTAGGTGGGTTGGCACCACCACAGCCACCTCTTTTTACACACCGCACTCCAAATTACGTCCATGCACATGGCGTTTTCTGTGTGGTGAAGTTCGATTGTGTTCTAATGTTAGCATGTGGTTTGCTTGTGGTTTGGCTGCCTTCACATCTATGTTTGCTACCCAACCCCTTGAATTGTGCAGAGAATGGCTCGAGCGAACGCCATGTCAATTTACTTTACATAGTTGATGCAGAGCTCAGAATGGTGACAGATCTGGCTACATTGAATCTATTGTCAATCACAGGTGGAAATGGCTTGGTCAGGCTAATAGAGCCCTATAATTTGCTACACTTCTTGCACCAAGGTTATTGTACCTAAATACCTCTTGGACGAGCCGCGCTCGATAGTATCATCGCATCATCCCCTTTCACGCCAGGCCTTCATAAGTTTGTTCAATGCCCGTGGACACAGCTATGGCAGAGAACTCGGCCAGTGACAACATCGAAAATGCTAGGCGAAGGCATTTACAGGACAAACGGACAACCAACATCAAACGGTGACAAAAAAAAAAAAAAAACAAAAAAAAAACAAAAAAAAAAACATCAAACGGTGCAGTGCAAACAAAGTGTTCACGCGTTTCAGGACAATTACAGGTCAAGAATTTTACCGAGTCAGGTCAGCAGCAGCAGCTGCGCCAGCGAATGTACAGTAAATACAGTCCAGCCAGGTCGTGCCTTGACGACAGTGTGGTGTGCGTTCTCTAACTGGCACTAGCAAGTTGCACCAGCTAATTGTATCCTCCTTTGTGTACATAGCCCGTGTTTTCCAGCTCGTTTTGGGCTTTGTCGTTTCGGAAACTCGGCTTTTCGGGGAGCACCCAGCTTTCACCGTGTGGAAGCCTACTTAACCGTACTTAAATAAGCAATAATCCAGCGAAAGTGTGCGATATCCCCTTGGGCTTGCCGATTGCAAATCACGAATCACCACCACAGCACAAGTTCCCAGAATCCCCCAATCCCGATGGACCTTGGGCTTGCTTTGCTTGTTTCTCCCCGTCTCTTGTTGCCCCTCCTCACACCGTTCGGCCACTCCGTCGCACAACTCTTGGCCCGAGCTATCATCCATCTTGGCTGTACAAACAACACCATCCTTTTTCTAGCCATCCAGTCTGGTCTCTGCTGCGCTGCGTCACATTCGGGCCGCTTCATCAGCTCGCCTCACTTACCTACTGATTGGTATTACAGACAGACTCTTAGTGGCGTGGCGTCACATGCTCTACAGAATCCAGAAAGGCATTTGACGACAAGTGGGTGGATAAGATGACCTAGAAAATGTATCACTTTCGCACATGTTCTAGTTTTGCAAGACTTCAGGCATGCTGCTAGAGTGACGAGGCGCTTCGAAGGTGATTTACGATAGTATTTAAAGGCTTAGTCGCATCAGGTTTCTTCCCTTCTTCAAAGAGTTGCGACGAGTATGCTTCTGATGTCGCGAGCAGTCGCTGTTAGTTCGCGACAACGACCCTAGTCCGGTTCGCTTAGCTGTACTACCCGAGCTAATGCCCGTCGGTGATTAAATGACAGTTTGCCTGCGTCTCTCGTTCTACGACACAATACCAGCTTCTCGCGATATGGCCTTCAGCCCTCGCGCCGAACCTCGTTCTAGTCTGCGTGCTTAGCTAGAAATCAGTATTTCGCAATACGCGATGGAGGGTTAGCATACTATCGGGACATTACCGCGCTAGAAGACGCGCAACGGCTCACCTACTTATTTATCTCGGCTTCATTCCTTCGCGTTGATCCCTTTCCGTTTCTATCACATCGCTTTTAGTCACCATGGACTGGTACGCCCAGCCACAGGACGGCGGCGCGCGTTTCGGCGCGTCTCGCTCCATGCCGCCACGTCAGTACGTAGCCACAACGACGCCTGCTGAAGCTGTTCCCGAACTTCTAAACCGCTCTCCACGTTCGTCCACCCTCCCGAACCACCCGCCGTACCATTATCCGAACCACCCCCCGAACCAGCGGTACCGGCAACTACCCGAGCCTGGTAACGACGCTCGGCCCTATAGCGACCAGCACATTCCCCTTTCCGGCGACGCCCCCGGTAAGCGCGAGCGCGCCAACCGCGCCCTCCGCAAGGGCATCTCCGCCTCGTCCGCGGAACTAGACCCGCCGAGTTCCGTGCGCCATCGAAATGATGACTCTAGGCAGTGTGACAATATTGGTGGTGAGCAAAACGAGCTCACGGAGTATCTCTTTGGAGAGGGGGGGCTTGGAGAAGGCGCGTGGGGTTCTGGCGGCGATGAGTACGCGCGCGGAACTGGCGGCGGGATTGGCGGCGTTGCGGATGGCGGTGCTGGTGGCAGCGGTAGATTCGACGATGCGATAAGAGTCGATCCGGGTCGAGGGGTCTCTAATGCTCGGCATGGTATGCCCAAATCTCCGTCTGCGCGCCGCGCCGCCGACATTAACCAGCCAGCCGTCAACCGCCGGCAGGGGTGGCGGAGGGGCAGTGACGGGCTGTCAGGTTGGGCGGAGAATCCCGAAGACGTGCCCGAGCCTATGCCCATGGTTCGGCGCTATACCACGGGCATGGGCGGGATGGCAGTTTCGCACGGCGAGCGGGGGAAGGGGGGGGAGGGTACTGGGGAAGCCGGGCAATGGCGGAGCGGAAATCAGGGGGAGAGGGCGGAGCGGGCGCACGGAATGCCGCTGCAGCGGCGATCGAAAACGGGACCTGATAGTCTCAGAAATCATACACTGGTTACCGCGGGGAATACGGCAGGGAACACGGCAGCAGGTGCTTCTTGGGGAGGCGCCGCGGGACACGGGGAGAGTTTTGGCGGCTTTGGCGGGGGGTTCAGAAGTGCCGGCGGCGCACCAGAGTCGTCCTCAGGCGGATCGGTGCGAAGCGGTACCAGTGAGGGGCAGACGGCGTGGGAGGCGCGGTGGGGGGCGGAGCAGCAGAGAGTCGCGGGAGGTAGCGGTAGACTGGCGGGCGGCGGAGGGAGCGGCAGACTGGTGGGCGCTGGAGGCGGGAACGGCGGCGGGAGGGAAGGCGCAGGCGGAGTCGCGGGGATGGGGGGACCCCGCGGGGTGCGCGCGGGGAGCATAGGCATCATGTCTCCGCGCCTGCTGAGATTCCTGGTAGACGAAGACAGCCCCGTAGGCCCGAACCCTAGCGGGGGATTCGACGACGGACGGAGGCGCGGGGGAGACGGGCGTAAGGCAAAAGGGCGGGGGAAGGACGCGGGGATGGGGAAAGCGGAGGCCGGCGGACCAGGGGGGAGGGGAAGCAGGGAGCGGGAGAGAGAGGGAGGGGGGCAGGTTGGGAGGAGGCAAGATAATTCCAGGTATCAGGAGACAGGCGGCGGGGTGACCGCCAGAGCTGCTGCGGCGGCGGCGGCGATGGGGGGAAGCAGCGGCGAGGGGGGGCGGAGATCCCCCAGAGCGGACGCCGCCTTGTACTTCCCCAAGTCGCGCAGCGTCGCTGTGCCAAAATCCCCGCTCTCCGCTGCGCCGCGCGTTGTTCCTCCCCCCCTCACGCCCCAGCCCGCGCTTCCCCCGGTTTCTCCCGCCCGCCAGCGCTTCCCCAGGTCCGCCTCCTCCTCCGCGCGCGCCCTAGTGCGTTCCGCCAATGCCTCCCCCACCGCTGCTGCCCCAGCCTTATCGCCTCACTCTAGCACCAGTACTGATCTCTATTCCGAATCCGGCTCTCATGTAAGCACAGGTGTGTTTTCCCAGGCGTTTCAGGGTTCAGAGAAACAAAGTGCAAGCCCCGTTTATGATCCGCGTACAGCCTCCGCCCCTCGTACGGGTTCCTCCCCTCGTACAGGCTCATCTCCCCGTACGGTTTCATCTCCTCGTGGGGGGTTACTTCCCGGTACTGGAACGTCTCCGCGTACGGGGTCGTCCCTTCGTACTGGCCCATCTCCCCGTGATGCATCATCTCCCTCGCACTCTCCCTCCTCCTACCCTCCCAAAAGTTCCTATCCTCCCAGTAACTCGTTCTCCCTGCGCCCCTCCTCTGGCGATTCCGCCGGTTCCGCCTCCGGGGAAACGGGGAAGACGGGAGGGGCGGGAGGGGCGGAAGTGGGGGGGGGAGTGGCTGGTGGTGCTGGTCCGTTCCCTGCCTACCCCACCTCCTCGTCTTTCTCGTTTGAGTCTAACCAGGCATCGATACAGTCACCCACGTCCTTGCATTACGCCCCCGTTAGTGCGCATGGGCATGGCAGTGATGGTAGCGCCGGTGGAGATGGGGGCGTATCGACAGATGTGTCTGATGACATGGGTCGAAGGCTGCAGCAGCAACTGCACGCCCAGAACACGAATCCACAGCAGAACCAGCACCACCAGCACCACCAGCACCCCCAGCACCACCAGCACCACCAGCACCACCAGCACCACCAGCAGCAGCAGCTGCATCAGAATCAGCAGCCGCAGCAGCAGCAGCTGCATCAGAATCAGCAGCCGCAGCAGCAGCAGCTGCATCAGAAACAGCAGCCGCAGCAGCAACAGCAGCAGCCGTTGCTGGCGAGACTGCAGGAGCAAAGAACATCGGCCTCCGTCTCCTCGCCCTCCCTCTCCGCCCCTACCCTGACCGTCCGCAGCAACAGCGAAAAGTTTCGCCGCCCCGCTGCCCTGGATCTCGGGCAGCTCTCGCCAACCAATCAGCTGGAACCAGAGGACTTGGTAGAAGAAGACGGGCAGGAAGTTATGGTGCGATTGGGAGATGAGGAAGAGGAGGAGGAGGAAGAAGGGGAGGTGCTTGCACGTGAGAATTATTTGCTGCAGGGGAGGGAACAGGTGGGGAAGGTAGAAGGGGCAGGTGGGCAGGGGTGGGAGGAAGAGATTTATTACTTAGACGAGCCAGATGATGGGATGGAATATCAGAAACAGCAGAAGCAGCAGCAGCAGCAGCAGGCACCTCCCCCCACCAAACCTAAGCCCCGAGCCTTGGTGACTGGTTCGGCAGATTGGTCTGGAGACAATGGCAGCACCACGCTTCTAGACTCTTTAGAGCCTCTGGCTGGGGATCCTGATGAGGAGGAGGACGGGGAGGGGTATGGGGGGTACGATTGGGGAGAGATGGGGGAGGGGGAGGAGGAGAACGAGAGTGAGGAGGCTCGGAGGAGAGGGCACAGGCGGACGGGGAGTCTAGGAGGGGGTGGGCGGGGAGGGGGAGAGGGAGAGGAGAGTGGAAGGGGGAAGTCCCAGCGACGGCAGGCGTTTATTCAGAAGCTTAAAGGCCTGGCTTCCCCGCGTTTTAGGGACGATAAGGGGAAGGCGAGGGGGTGGCAGGGGGGTGATGGGGAGGCGGAGGGAAAGCAGGAGGAAGAAGAGAAGAGGGGAGGGGGGAAGGGTGAGGGGAAAGGGGGGAAGGGAGTGGGGAGGAATGCAGTAAATCCCCGAGCTGGGGGAGGGGGAGGGGGAGGGGGAGTGGGCGGGTGGGGGCGCAGTATCACAGGGGAGAGAACGCGGAGAGAGGCAGATGCAGTGGTATCGGCAACAGGGAAGGGCGGCGGCAAGGAGAAGGAGAAGGAGAGGGAAGGGGATCGGGAGAAGGGGCGGAGGATGGTAGAGGCGCTCCTAGATATGCCCACGAGAAGGTTGGAGTCACCAGCACGAGGGAAGCCAAGGAAAGAGGTAGTGCGACCAGGGACAGGAGGCAAAGAGGGGGCAGGGGGAGCAGGCGGAGGAGCAGCAGGGGGGGGAGCAGCAGCGGGGGGGGGGGGACTCTTTGCGCAAGAGCACAGAGAGTCTGGTGAAAGAATCAAAGGGGTTGTTGCTGTGGGAAAAACGAAAGGTCGGAGGGGGAGCAGGAGGGAAAGGAAACGAGGGAGGTGGGGCAGGAGAGGTCAAAACGCCTAGTTTTCTCCGTTCGTTCACCCAGCCTCGCTCCTCCAGCAGTAGAGGCTCCAAAACACCCAAGGGGGGCACCAGCGCAAGCACCAGCGGCGGCACTAGCAACACTGCTAGCACCAGCACTGGTGGCGGTGGCGGCGGTAGCAGCAGCAGCGGCATTGGCATCAGCTTGGCCTCACGGTCGTTCAAAATGGACCACAGATCGGATCACAGCACGAGTGCGGGCGGCAGCAAAACGCCAAAGGAGGCCAGCCAGCACAGGTCGAAGCGGGCTGGGTCGGGCACGTGGGGAGGGGGCCTGGTGGCTGCAGTGGAGGGTTTTAGCCGCAGCCTCACTGCTCCTAAAGGCTCCTTTGGCTCTCCTGCTGCTGCTGCTGCTGCTGCTGCTAACGCCTCTGCTTCTTCTGCTAGTAACGCTGTTGCTGCTGCTGCTGCTGCTGCTGCTGGCACTGGTGGTAGCAGTGGTAACAGCACTGCTCCTGCTGGTGCCGCTGCTGGTGGTGGTGCCGCTGCTGGTGCTGGTGCTGGCGCTAGTGCTGCTGGTGGTGGTGGTGAGGGCGGTGGAATGAAGAAGGTCAAAGGATTGACCGTATCAACGTCTCCTCGTCGCCTCAGCATCAGCGGCACCACCACTGCTGCAGCCCACTCCTACTCTCCTTCTTCCACTTTCACTGATAACTCGCAGAAACACTCCCCTGCTTCTGCCACCACTCCCACTGGTGTATCTGCTGCTGCTGCTCTCTCTGCCACTGCTGCTGCCACTGCTGCTGCAGCTTCTGCTGCTTCTGCTGCAGCTGGTGGTGGTTCGTCCGGTTCTGCTCCCTCCGTGTCAGGTTCGGGCCGAGCCGGTTCGTCCACGCCAAAGAACGCAGCAGGTTCGGGCAAAGCCTCGTCGCCTGGCTCTGCCAGTGCCACCGGCAGTCCCTCTGCTTCTTCCCCTGCTGGTGCCACTGCCAATGCCCCTGCTGCTGCTGCTGCTGCTGCTGGAAGTGCTGGTGCTTCTGGGACATCCAGAGGCGGTGCAGAGACCAGGAGCAAGAGCCCTCGCACCAGCAGGACCAAAAGCCCTGGGAAGAGAGACGAGCAGGGTTCTGGGAAGTCAAGTTCCGGGCAGACCGAGAAGAAAAGCTCTTCGCGAACCATCAGCCCGAAAACTCTGAGCCCTAGGACTCCCCGCGGCGACGGGCAGCAGCAGCAGCAGCAGCAGCCGGGCACGGGCAGCACGGAAGGGATTTTCGAGCGCGGGTTCACAGACATCCGGAAGAGATTTGAGGTCGGGCAGCAGATCGGGCAGGGGCGGCGGGGGGTGGTGGTGTATATGTGTGTGGAGAGGCGCACGGGGCGGGCGTATGCGTGCAAGGCGATTGACAAGGCGACTCTGGTGGAGCCGAGGAAGGTGGCTGCTGTGCGGGCTGAGGTGGACGTTATGAGGAAGCTTCTGGGATGGCCGCACGTGGTGGGGATCAAAGACGCCCTAGAGGACGAAAAGGTGAGCAGTTAGGGCTGTGGAGATGGTTTCAGGAGGGTTACAGAGGGGTTTAGGGTTCGGGGTTTGGGGTTTGGGGTTTGGGGTTCGGGGTTTGGGGTTTGGTGTTTGAGCTAAATTTGAGTATATTCTGGGATGGCCACATGTGGTGGGGATCAAAGACGCACTGGAGGGCGAAAAGGTGAGCGCCAGGGCTGTTTGTGTGGTATCGGTGGGAGTTAGGGTTCCGGAATCGGTAGTGGTGAGGGAAACGTGAGGGTTGGGGTTTGAGCCGGTCAAGCTGCTGGGATGGCCCCAAGTGGTGGGGATCAAAGAGGCACTAGAGGATGAAAAGGTGAGGAGTTAGTGTTGAAGCTTTGGTTTTGACACAGGGGCTAGGGGCTAGGGGCTAGGGGCTAGGGGCTAGGGGCTTGCATGAAGAGTAGGGTTTTAGTGAGAGAAGCTTTGGGATGGCCGCATGTGGTGGGGATCAAAGACGCACTGGACTGGAGGGCGAAAAGGTGAGCGCCATGGGGCTGTGGGTGTGGACTCAGGAGGGTTGGAGTGGGGCTGAGGAAGGTGACACGTGTGCAAGCTGGATTGGATGGCCGCACGTGGTGGAGATCGATCAAAGATGCGCTAGAGGACGAATATGTGAGCGCGCATGGGAGCTGTAGAAGTGGTTCTGATGAGGTTGGTTGGACCAGAGGTTAGGGCTGGAGTGAAAATTAGGGTTTGAGTGAGAGAGGCTTTTTGGGATGGGCGCACGCACGTGGTGGGGATGAAAGATTCACAAGAGGATGAAAAGGTGGGCTCCTGGTGGTATGTAGGAGTGGTTAAAAAAATCCGGAAAAGGCAACAAGAAACATCAAACTCTGAGGGACTCTATCAAAATCTAATAAACTCTCAAAGGTTGTGATTCTTGAGATAACCAACAGAAACCAACAAAGTCTCAGTGGCTATGGTCATCGTTATGGAGCTGCTTGGGGAGCAGCCTTCTCAATCGCACCTTCACCTTCTCCCTACCCATAAACCACCCCCTCTTCCTCCCTTCTACCCCTCCCTCCCCCCACCCCTCCCGCCCTCCTCTCCCTCTATCCCTACCCCATCTCCCACTTTCCTTTTTCATCTCCCCCCTCCCTTACCGCCTCGTTTCCCCTCACGGAAGCACTAGAGCACCGAAACCCACAACCAGCACGCCCCCTTTCCCCATCCCCTCTGTCTGTCCCCTCTTTCCTCCCCTCCCCTCTCTCTCCACTGCGTGTACATTCTGATGGAGCTCTGCTTGCTTATCATCGCCCTCCCTCCATCACCCCCTCCCCTTCCCCTCCCCTCCCCCCGCTCTCCTCCCTTCCAGTGCGAGCTCTGCTTGCCTTCTCATAGAGCTTTGCTTCGAAGGCGATCTCCTGACCAGATCAACTCGTCGCCATTCATCTCGGAGGGAGAGGCCGCCATCTTCCTGCGCGTGCTGGCAGAGACACCAGAGCACCCAAACCCACAACCAGGCACCATGCCCCCTTTCCCCCATCCACCCTGTGTTCTCCCCTTTTGTTTGAGATTAGTTTTGAGAATTCTCAAAACTATTCTCAACCCACAACCAGGCACCATGCCCCCTTTCCCCCATCCCATCCATCCTGTCTTCTCCCTTCTTTCCTCCCCTAGCTCCCCCTTTCGAGTGCATCTATATTGTGATGGAACTTTGCTTTGAAGGCGATCTCCTGGATCACATCAACTCGTCGCCGTTCATCTCGGAGCGGGAGGCCGCCATCATCCTGCGCGTGCCGGCGGAGACACTCGACCAACCAGCATGCGCTCCCCTCTCCTCCCTCTCCCTCCTTCTCTTTCCCCGTTTCCCTCCTGCTGCCCTCTCTCCCCCATCCCCCACCCCTCTCCCCTCAGTGCGTGTACATCTTCATGGAGCTCTGCTCAGGAGGCGACCTGCTGGATCACATCAACTCATCCCCCTTCATCTCGGAGCGGGAGGCCGCCATCATCCTGCGCGTGCTGGCGGAGACGCTGCGGTCGTGCCACAACCACGGCATCATGCACCGCGACTTAAAGCCCGAGAACATCCTGCTGGCGCTGCCTGGGTGCTGGTGGGACCTCCGGTTGGCCGACTTTGGCTTCTCTGTTCACCTCAAAGCCGGTGAGTGAGTGGGGTGGGCATATGCTCTTCTCTTCCTCACGCCCACAGCCACACGCCACGCCCTTACCCATAAACACGGCATCATGCACCGCGACTTAAAGCCCGAAAACATCCTGCTCGCCCAGCCCGGGTGCTGGGGGGTCCTGCGATTGGCTGATTTGGGATTCTCGGTTCACCTCAAGGCTGGTGAGTGCCTGGGTTTAATTCTGCACTCCCTCACACCTGCTCACGACACATCCACAGCCACGGCCACAACCAGAGGTATACGCGCAGCAGCACCCATTTACTGCGGTCGTGCCACAGCCAGAGGTATACGCGCAGCAGCAGCACCTATTTACTGCGGTCGTGCCACAACCGCGGCATCATGCACCGCGACTTAAAGCCCGAAAACATCCTTCTGGCGCAGCCCGGGTGCTGGTGGGACCTGCGCCTCGCTGACTTTGGGTTCTCTGTGCACCTTAAAGCCGGTGAGTGGAGCTCTTCCTCACACCCATCCACCCACAGCCGCTCACCCACACCCATACCCACGCACACTCCCACCCACGGCATCATGCACCCATAGTACAGCAACTCTCAATATGCAGTCAGAAGCCCGTATGCATACCCACAACCAGAGCTACACACACAGCTACACACCCACGCCCATACCCAAGGCCACGTCCATATTTTGAGGCGCCTCAAAAGTCCCATACCCACGGCCACGTTCAAACCCACACGCACAGCATCATGCACCACCCTCTTACCCACCCCGTCACACCCACCTGATCCCACTTCCTCCCTCCAGGCGAGCGCATGACCGGCTATGCAGGGTCGCCATTCTACATGGCGCCGGAGGTGCTTGACAGCGTGTACGGGCATGAGGCAGACGTGTGGAGCCTGGGGGACATCCTCTACACCACCGTGCCCCGTGTCTCATGCTCCCTGCCCCATGCCCCGTGTTTTTACAGGCGAGCGCATGACCGGCTATGCAGGGTCGCCATTCTACATGGCGCCGGAGGTGCTGGACAGCATATACGGGCACGAGGCGGACGTATGGAGCCTGGGGGTGATCCTCTACACCATGCTCTCCCAGAAGCTGCCCTTCTGGGATGACACGGACGCGGGTGTGTATCGGCAGATCAAGCGCGCTCACGTGGACATGGAGAGCGGAGTCTGGCCGGCGATTTCGGATGAAGGGAAGGATCTGGTGCTGGGGATGCTGTCCGCGGACCCTCACCAGCGAATCACCCTCGATAGACTGCTCGGTACGTGCCCCATGTGAGGTTGTAAGGGTTCCTGTCTGGGTGTGAGGCTCGGAAGGTACGAGGTGAGGGGCCAAGGATGTGGTGCAATTCAAGGGATGTTCTCAGTAGGATCTTTCAGGGTTTTGGGACGACGCGGACGCGGGCGTGTACCAGCAGATCAAGCGTGACAAGGTGGACATGGAGAGTGGCGTCTGGCCGGCGATTTCAGATGAAGGGAAAGATATTAGCGTCATGAAACATGCCACTTCGTGGTATTAATACTTGATACATTGAAATTTTCCCCCTTTTATTTGTGTTTTTCTTCTAACTCCTGTTTCTGCCGTTTGATATTTGCAGCTCATCCATGGATGGCAGCCAACGGCTGTGATATGCCGCCATCACCGGCACACAGCACAGCCTCTTCGACGGACACGTCAAGCCTCTCTGGCAGGCGAAAGAAAGACATTGCTCGGTCTACAGGCACCATATTCTCCTCGCTCGGAATGCCCTTTTGCCGTGTCTATCAAGGTAATGACGACGATGAGGATGATGACCAAAGTGTATCAGGCTTAGCATAGACTATTTGAGGTTTATGTTGCTTGGAGCTTATATTGTAGATTTGCATATTTCCTAGAAAAATATTTCGACCGAAGTGTAATACGTATGTAGGTATCGCTTTCCCGAACCTGTACCCCAGCTGGTTCTTTTGCCACACCTTAGCGGACGTGCGTGAGGTCCGTCGAGATTCGCATTCAATGCTTGATGTCGCGCACAGGAAAACGCCGGATTTTACATTGTCCTGCCTGCCCCCTCATCCACCGCACAGTTCATGCCTCAGGTTAGTGGCACTGCTGGACTGCATGAACCGAAGCCTCAGATTCGCACATCCGTTTCTGGAAGCTCAAAAGACGACCAGGTGTTTTGCCGGGATGAGGTGCAGCCTCTGCATGCGACAAAATAATAATAAAAAATCATTTTGTTTCGGAATTGCGACCGTGTCAATCCAATATAATAACAATTGCTGACGTGCGGGAGGCAAAAACAGCAGCAAACAGCAGCAACACGGGTGTCGTCGCCTGCCATCTTTGCTGAGCGGTTTACAAGAAACGAAATCGTGAATCGAACTCACAGGTGCCTATGGAACAGGCTTACCTGTTACAGAAGAACTGAGTTTATTGTTATGGGAAAAAAGTGTAACGGATTGTGGGCTTGTGCGACTTGTTGAACGAGCTGTTTCCCACGTCGCATCAGATCTCACGACCACGACCAAGACGCGAGAAGTACTGTTACTTGGAGCTGGGGGGCACTTCCTCAGCCAATAGAACTGCGTTTCCTTGCAAGCTGGAGTTTTCAAACAAAGATCGCCGCGAGGAACTGTTTCGCATGCCAACAACATTGTTTCGCAACACACCGCATCAGCCCGCGTTTCGTCCAGGACACTCGTCGCATAAAGCTCTGCGAAACTCTCATCATGAGGGCCTACTGATGTGTTCGGTCGAAGTTGTTGACAGATGTTTTAAGAAGGTTTTGTTTTGGTATTGCACGGTTTGTTTCGCCTCTGGTTGTATCCTTCCTTGTTTTTGTTCGATTTCGTTACGATGCACCGCGCATTTATCCCCAGCCACCAGCTGAGTGGCTTGCAGAATCACGTGCGTCCTTCTGCCAGTCCAACAACCCACCACTTTCCTTACTCCCGCTTCCGCTTCTCACGTCTCTTTTCGAACCCCATCCACTCCAACTTACGCCTATCCATCTGCGAGTGTATCTAGCAGCCCGAGCCACCTAACCGCCACTCCCTGAGCTAGTAAGAGCTGCCAGCTCCGCACGTCACCTGCTGCATCCCACTTCCCTACTTCCTCCGTATCCCGCCTCCCTCCGTACTCCCAATTCCTGTTCGTGTTTTCTCTGTTGCTTCCCGCAATCATCGGTCGTCCAATCACATAACTCCAAATGGACGACGGACCGCCGATACTCGCGTATCCCGTATCCACTAATAGGCAAGTCCCATGGGACCCCGCTCAACGTCCGCCATCCCCGCTCAATCCCGCCTCTAGACGCTTTCCCGCGCCCATTCCTCCCCGCACTTGCGCGCAAGAAGCTTCCGCCTGTCCTTACAGTGCGAGTCCCCATAGCGGAAGCCCCTATGGCGCAATCTCTTCCGCTTCCCCCGTTCCCCTCCGCCGGTATAACTCCGTCACCTCCCCCGCTCCGCCGCCCGTTTCCCTTCCCCCCGCCGGATCTTCCCCCGCGCCCAAGTCTCCCCTCTTCCGCACGCCCTCGCTCGGCGCCCCCGTGCGTATCTCCGCCGCTAGAGAACAGCCGTCGCCGCCCATGTTTCTCCCGCCCACCGCCTCGGAGACCCTTCCTATAGCAGTTCCGCTCTATATTCCCCCGAACCACCCCCCCGCGGGGCCCGCGGACCGTTCCTTTGCGCCCAGCTGCGCGTATGAGCCCCGAGCGCAGCAGCTGGACCGCGCGTTTGTGCACGACGGCGGTTGCGCGTATGAGCAGCGGGTGCCACCACGGGGACCTCCGGGCCCGCTCGCATGGGGAAACAGCGGCGCCGCATCCCGTCGCGCTGCGCCGATTCCGCGACACTCCTCCCTCCCCCTAGCGGCTTCCGCCTATCCCAGCGGGAACTACTCTTCCGCCGTTACAAACAGCCCTTGTCCCGTTCTTAATAATCATCAGCGACACGCGAAGGGGCCTGCTGGTAACCTGGTAACCAGAAGAGACAGCAGCGGGAAATACGATCAGGCGGGCGGGTGGGAGAAACCGTTTATTCATCGGTCCACGTCAGCACCCGTGCCTGATGACGAGGCTTGGGAAGAGGAAAGGGAATACGAAGAAGGGGAGGAGGAAGAGGAGGGGGAGGATTGGGAGGAGGAGATGGGGGAAAACGAGATGGCGGCGGAAGGGGAAGGGCGCAGGGGGGAAATGAGCGGCGCGGGCGGATGGGGAGTGAGCGCGCGGACTGGGGGGGCGGCGGGAGGGGAAACGCGGGGGTGGCGCGGAGAGGAACCCCGGCGGCAACTGGACAGGTCTTACCTGACGAGCGCGTACGACCAACAGCAACAGCAGCAGCAGCAACAGTCGCATCTTGCGAGGCATTTAAGCCTGGAGCCGCATTTGACGGATAACCGCAGCGGGCAAACGCGCGGGGACGGGGAGCGGGCGGAAGGGCGGGAGGGGAGAGGCGCGAACCTGCTGCGACAAGCATCGGACGGGCAATGCCTTGCGCGCAACGGCGGGTATGGGCGGGGGGCACGCGGGGACGCACAAGACGGGCAATACAGGGGGGACAGGCAACAGCCGGACAGGCAACAGCCGGAACAGCCAGACAGGCGTCAGCTGGACAGGCGGCATGTGGACGGCATGTACGTGGACAGGAGCGAGCCGGACCGCGAGCGACTTATAGAGCTGCGATTGCGGCGCGTGGAACGGCGGCGGCAGCAGCAGTGGCACCACGAGCGGCAACGCAAGGCGGCGCATCGCCTTATGGCGGAGCGACGGCAGCAGTGGGAGCTGTGGCGGCAGCAGCAGCAGCAGCAGCAGGGGCTGGGGCAGGAGGAGCAGGGGCAGAAGCAGGGGCAGCAGGGACAGGGACAGGGACAAGAGCAGCAACAGGAGTGGTTTCAAAAGCAGCAGCAGCAGCAGGTGTATGAGCAGCAACAGCCAGAGAGAGACGAATACGAGAGGGAACAGCCAGCCACGTCACCTTACCAGCAGGCCACGTCGCCTTACCAGCAAGCCACGTCACCTTACCAGCAGGCCACGTCGCCTTACCAGCAAGCCACGTCACCTTACCAGCAGGCCACGTCACCTTACCAGCAAGCCACGTCACCTTATCAGCAAGCCACGTCGCCTTACCAGCAAGCCACGTCACCATACCAGTCTCTCACCCATCGCACACGTTTGCTGCCTCAGCACTACCAGCCTTGCACCGACCAGGCCAATACCACCTGCACCAGCAGCGCCCTCCCCAGCAATCCCACCTGCACCAGCCACCTGCAGCGCTCTGCCTCCGATGGACGTGCGATGACTGGTCAGGTGGCACCTGACAAAGATTCACCTGACCAGGTGGTTCCTGCCCAGGTGCTAGGGCCCAACCCGATGGCACCTGGTCAGGTTGTTCCTCAGCTGGTGCCGAGCAGGTCACTGCGGCAGCTGAGGAGAGTGCCTCCTCTTGATTCAAAAGCGCAGAAACAGCAGCCAGACCCTCACAGACAGCGGGCAGACACACAGGAGCAGCGGGCATGCGTATCTGCTCCAGAGCCTACCCAATCCTCCTCGCACCAAACCTTGTCCCAATCCCCTCCTCCTTGCTCTTCCCCTTACCTCCCTCCTCGCTCATCTCCTCAATCCCCTCCTATTTCCCCTCCCTACGCCTCCCCTTGCTCCCCTCCTCTCTCTCCTCCTGCCTCTACTGGTACCGCTATCTGCCACTCCCCCTCCCTCTCATCGTCCTCCTCCTCCTCCTTTGTGTGGCCGAGGGGGAACGGGCCTGACTTTGGGACCGGCGGGAGGGCTGCCTTGGGGGGAGCGGATAAGTGGGTGGCGTGCTTTGTCCCGCAGTGCTGGAACCGCAATTGAGGGTATGGGATTCGATGCAGGAGGCACGTGCTGCTGCGAGGTGACGGAGAGACGGGTCCAAGAGAGAGGTGCAAGTGAACATACCACGACGTGCCTTGAAGCAGTGGCGTGTGTGTGGGCCCCTGGAGTGGCACTTGGAAGTAAAGAGATGTGCCTAAGCCAATGGTGGTGCGATGCTATAATGCTATGCTATGGCGGAGTATATCATATCGCTCATGCTCTGCTGTGCTGGTTACAACCTGGTTGTACATTTTTAAAGGGCGCTGTACTGTACATGGGAACTGTTATGTAAAGAAAAAAAATCATAACCTAACGAGCGTATATCAAATGCACCAGTTGTGCAACTGCACTGAGCTGCATCTGCTACCATACAACCCTCAGGATGACAAGGTCACAGCAACGTGTTACGTGCATCAAACATTTTTCACATGGTGTGGGTGGGGCAAGAATGGCTTTCTGGCACCCTGAATTGAGGCCTGTTGCTCATTGAGGGGACGGGGTGGGCAGGAAGGTGAAAAGGGGGGGCAGTTGGTGATTGCGGGGGAAACACTGAGGGGTAAGGGTCAGTGGGATTAGTCAATGGTCGCTTCTTCTCGAAACATGCCGTCTCAGGGCATGCTGCACCTCCGACACCCATGCAAGCAGGTCTGAAGAGTTTCGACCGCATCAAACGGACAGTGAAACAACACAGCTTTTCAATCATCCCTCATTTCTACACCCCTCTGCCCCCAACCAGCCAAGCAAACAACTCACCTTGTAGCAAGCCAACAGCCTCCGCAGGTTATCGCTGCCACAAACCCATGCCCCCGTGCTGCCTGCCTCTCAAGCAGAGAGCTTTGAGACGTCTCAAAACTCGTGGCAAGTGAACAGCGCGCAGTGTGCACTACAAGGTGACTTCAGAGTCGACTCAAAAGGCACTGCACTGCACAGGCGCTTCTGCTCGTTACTTCCGCCTTCCTCATCTCGCCTCCCCACTTCTCCTACCCTTCCGCCATGTCACAGCTACGGCCGGCCATGCAGATAAACAGCATCAGAATCACTGATGCGAGGGTTAAGCTGCAGAACCTCCTCTATGCTCCCCTCCCTTCTCCTCCTGCCCTCTCCCTGCCTTCCTTTGCCCTTTTTCTACCTACCTACCAGGGCATCACAGCACAAGTCATTGGCGAGTAAATAGCATCGGGATCTGTAATGGGGGTTACGCCGCCGCACCTCTCCCACGCTGCCCTCCCTGCTTCTCCCCATCTTCCCTCCCTGCTTCTCCCCATCTGCCCTCCCCGCTGCTCCAACCCTCCAGCATCACAGCATCAGTCGGTCATGCGGGTAAATGGCATCAGGATCCCAAATTTGCAGGTTACGTTGCAGCACTTCCCCAATGCTCCGCCTGAACTGATCAGCAATGGTGCTCAATATATCGCCCTCCTGCACCTCATACACTCCCCTCTTCCACACCCGCCACAGCACTTCCCACACGCTCCGCCTGGACTTGTCTGCAATCGTGCTCAGTATATCCCCCTCCTGCACCTCATACACCCCCCCCTTCCGCACCTTGTCACAGCACCAGGCGGTCATGCGGGTATATAGCATCAGGATCCTTAATTTGCGGGTTACGCCGCAGCACTTCCCCCACGCTCTGCCTAAACTTGTCTGCAATCGTGCTCAGAGTATCCCCCTCTTGCACCTCGTACACGCCGCCCTCCGTGCTCCCCCTACACTCGCCTCCTTCACTCCCCTCAGCCCTCTCCTCCTTCCTGCGAGCCTCTTCGAACCCGCGACAGAGATCCGAGTACCTCTCCTCGTCCAGGCGACTGCAAGGGAGGGGGAGAAGGGAGAGGAAGGGATTGCGTCAGAGGGTGGACTGGACAGGTGAGTAGCAGCTTTGTAGCCCTGGCAGAAATTCGAGTACCTCTCCTCGTCCAGGCGAGGCGACTGCATGGAGGGGTGGGGGCGGGTCTGGGCGGGGTCGTGGGGGAAGTGGGCATGGGGCATGCAGCATGGGCCGGACAAGGGAGACGGGGACATGACAACGGGGGTAGAGATATGTGAAGCGCCAGTGTCACATGCAGCACCCACCAGCACCCACCACCACCCACAGCACCCATCCGCACCCACCACCACCCACCACCACCCACCAGCACCCATCCGCACCCACCAGATCTCAGCCATGGAGCGGCGGTCCCCATGCAGGCGGCGAATGACCATCTCCCGCTGCTGCCTCAACACCAGCTCCGCCTGCTGCCACCTCGGCAGCGGCTTGGGCCCCCTCCGCCACCCTCCGCTGCTGCTGGTGGCGTTGCTGCTGCTGCCGGTTGTGCTGGTGGTGCTTCTTGCTTCTCCCGTTGAGGTTGAGTTCCGCTGCGAGCCGAGGGACATGAACCAGGGGCGACTGGGGGAAGGGTACGGGGACAGGGAGGGAACGGGAGAAGACGGGGGACACAGAGCACTGTTGCAATCAGCAAATGACCATGTATCTCCCGCTGCTGCCCCAACACCAGCTCCGCCTGCTGCCAGTACTCACCGTGCTTGGGACCCCTCCGCCAGTACTCACCGTGCTTCCCGTCTGCCCAGCCCTGCCCGCTCCTCCTCCCCAGCCGCCAGATCCGCCCCCCCCTCTCTCCCCCCATCTCTGCCCCCCGCCCTACCCCTCTCCATCCCCCCTTCAATGCCCTCGGCCCCCTCGCCATCTGGTGCATCGGTGGCCGCCGCAGCCACAGGCGTATCCCCAAAGTTGAGCTCAAACACCCCGCCAAAGCCCCTGCGCGGGTGTGGCAGGGAGAGGGGATGGATAAGGGAAGAGCAAAAGGAGAGAGAGGGGATAAGGGAAAGGAGGATGGACGTGGAACTGCTAGAGACAGCAACAGGTAAGTCCCCAAAGTTGAGCACGTCACACTTACATGCCGAGGTGAGGCCGCTGCGCAATGTGGTCCGTGAAGCTCGGCCTCTCATACTCCAGCGCTCGCCTGCAAGCAATGGACATGCAGTACGGTGCAGTGCGGTGCAGTGCATTGCACAGAGGTGTGGTGAGGTAGTGCGAGGATACAGCAGAATGGGCCTTAGAAGGGGTCTTAGCGAGTCTCGATTGCTACACCACAGAAAACTGAGCCACCTCATAAGAGAGTCTGCTCATCCCCACTCACCTCTTCTCCTCTCCCCTCCTCCTCGTCTCCCCTCTTTTTCTCTCCTTTTGCTCACCTACTCTTCTCTCCTTCCTCACCTACTCTCCTCTCCCCTCCTCCCACTCACCTCCTCCTCTCCTCCCGCGTTCGTCTGTTACTCCTATTCGCCAGAACCATCGCTCCGCCCACCAGAGCCACTGCACCAGCAGCAGCAACCAGGTCCCACACGCCTCGCCGCCTCTGCTCGCCCTCCCCTTCCCCCACCAGCCCCAGCGCGTGACTGTGGCTGCGGTGACTGCCGCGAGTGTAACTGTGGCGGGAGAGCGAGTGAGTGCTGTGGAGAGCGGTGGAGGTAGAAGAGGCGTTGGAGTGAGTGCGGGAGAGGGGCGAGGCCACTCTGCGGGGGCTGCTCAGGTGGTCCGGCTGTGAAAAAACCCAGGAGTAAAAATGGGAGACGGGGGGTAAAAATGGGGAAGAGGGGAGAAGTGGAAGAGAACAGGTATGAGGGAGAGGGAAGCAGTGAGAGAGGGGAGGCGAGTTGACGGGGACTGCTCAGGTGGTCAGGGTGTGGTACAGGGGAGCAAGCCACGGGTCAGGGGGGGTGGATGGCGAGGGTAGGGCAGGGGGGAGGGGTTGAGAGAAAGGCGTTGGAGTGCGTGCGGGAGAGAGGGGAGGCGAGTTGACGGAGACTGCTCAGGTGGTCCTGCTGGTCGAGCACGGTGGGCGTGGGGTGGGGTGGGAACGGACACAAGCTTAGCAGACGGAGAGGAAGGCATGGCATGGGAAATAAAGGCGCAGGAAGAGAAGGAGGGGCAGGAAGGGTGTGGAAGAACCAGGGAAGGAAGAGAGGGGGGAGGGCAGGGTGAGAGGGGGAAGAGTGAAGGGGAGTATGGGAAGGGGAAGGGGAGGGGGTTGACGATTGCGAGAGCGAGGGAGAGGGGGGACGAGGACATACAAGAACGGGGGTGAGGGAGGTGGGGTCGGGAGGAAGGAAGCGAGGCGACACGTCCACCGGAGCAGCAGATGCAGCAGCAGCCCTGGCTCCAGCACCAGCACCAGCAGTAGCAGGCACAGCAGCGGCAGCACTGCCTCCCAGATGACCCTCCCCGCTCTGCTTCTGCTTCTGCTCTAAGCCGCGGTGATACTCGCTCAGACGGTGGCTGTTTTGGCGCGCCTCCGAAGCAGAAGTGTGGCGGTGTGGGTCAGTATGCTGATGGTACCGATGGTGCACTTGCTGCTGCTGTTCGTGCCCCTCATGCGGATGATGCTGCTTGTGAGGTGCCCCACGCGCACGGTCACATTCATGCGGGTGCTGCTGACTGTGACGATGGTACACATGCCGCTGCTCGTGCCCCCCATGCCACGCATCCGCCCTCTCGCCCCTCCAATCCTGCCCACGCACCCTTGCACTACCTGCCACTACCACACCTGCTACAGCTGCACGCTCTGTAGGTACTCCTGCTGGTGCTGCTGCTGATGCTGCTGCTGCGGCAGGCTGCATTGCTCCCCCCACGCGTTCCCCCACGGGCCTCCCATGCACGCGGAGCGATGGCAGGCCAGCAGGGATAGCGCCCGCCATGCTCCGCCTCTCGTCCTCCTTGAGCCCAAACCAGGCCGGTGCATTCTGCGATTCGGCTGCATAACCATGCGAAGCTAAACCTGCTGCACCTGCTGCACCCGCAGCTCCTGTCACAGCTGCAGCACCTGTGGCACTGTCCCCCTGCACGCTGCTCTCTCTACCTGAAGAAACGCCAGTTTCTCTGTTGGTGCTTGAAAGCGCATCTGAGTCTGGTGGCTCGGAGTCTAATGACTCAGTGGCAGTTGCTTGAGTAAACTGCTTCTGCTGCTGCTGCTCCTTCCGCTCGGTCTTGAAGAGAGGCGCAGTAGTGGAAGCAGGAGGGCCTCCAAGTGATGATCCTGCCATGCCTTCTCCTCCTTGTGTGCCTAAGTCAACATAGTCCGGACTCAACAAAGGCCCCCCCTTGCCAGCACCAGAATCATCATCAGCAGCAGCAGCAAGTGCAGCAGCGGCGGCAGCAACAGCGGAAGCAGCAGCAGCGGAAGCAGCAGCAGCAGAAACAGCACCAGAGGTGGTGGACGGAAGGGTGATGGAGGCCGCGCGTGTCAAGTCAGCCAGAGAAGGAGCAAGAGAGGACGGCTGAGCACAAGAATTGGACGAGAAGGAGGAGTTAGAAGAACAGGAGGAGGAGATGAGTCTCTGGCGAGCAGCAGAGGAGGCGGTCACCATTATGCCGTCGAAATCCCGGATGCCCACGAGTCGCTTGGACAGCGTGCGCAGGCACAGGCAGACGCGCCGAACGTCCCTGCCATCCACGAGGTCTGGCGAGGTGAAGAGCGATACGTCCCTCAGACCCACACGCCGACACACCTGGGGAGACAGGTACGCGCAGCGAGAGGAAACAGGGAGAGGAGGGGGGCACGGGGGACATGGGGGAACGCTGAGCGTCTCTGCGATCCACGAGGCCTGGCGAGGTGAAGAGCGATACGTCCCTCAGACCCACACGCCGACACACCTGGGGAGAAGGGGAGGGACACCAGGGGAACAGAGGGGGAAGAGCGGGGGAAGAGCGGGGGAATAACCGGGGACATGGGCGTAAGGAGGTGCTGATCGTCCCTGCCATCCACGAGGTCGGGCGAGGTGAAGAGCGATACGTCCCTCAGACCCACCCGCCGACACACCTGAACGGGGGAACGGGGGACATGACCGTAAGGGAACGGAGAGCTTCTCTTGAATCTACGAGGTCGGGCGAGGTGAAGAGCGAGACGTCTCTCAGACCCATAAATCCATCCCGACAGCCACACGAGGAGGGTCGGCTGCTCCTTTAGGCATCTCAAAATTCGCCTTCACGTTTACTGTTGAGACGCCTCATGAATTTAACCAGCACAGCGGCTCTCACCTTGAGAAAGCGCTCCACATTGGTGCATGCATGCCAGTACGCGCGCTCACTGTTGAGAGGCCTCACAAGGGCCTCACTCACCCTCGGTGACTTTGAAGACAGACCATCGCTCACCTTGAGAAATCGTTCCACGTTGGTGCACGCGTGCCAGTACGCGCGCTTAAAGCCCGACCCACCACTCTCCTCACTGGAACAGCCCCCGTTCGCGCTGCTGCTGCTGCTGTCACCACGAGCACTAACACCAACACCACCCTCAGCAGCACCGTCAGCAACATCAGCAGCCGCAGCGGCAGCGGCAACAGCACCACTCTCGGCAGTGGCGGCGGCGGGAGGTTTTGCAGGCGGGGCGGAGTCAAAGTTCGGAGTCAGGGGGACACTGGCGGAAGGGGGGGCGTCGGGCGCAAGCAATTGCTGCACCAAACAGGCGAGCTCGAGGCTGGATAAAGGGGGAGGCGGAGCGAAAGTGGGGGGGGACGAGAAGCGGGAGAGGGGAATGGGACGTTTCAGAAGCGGCAGAGCGAGGCTCGAGTGCGTGAGACGTGGATTCCAGTGGAACGGAAGCTGATTACTGGGTGGGTGAGAATAACGACTACCAAGGGAGACGAGGGGAAGATGACGAAGTAACATTGTGAATACGCGGGTAGAAGCAACGAACGAAGAGGGCACCGCGCAATAGGGTCCATGTGAAAGCCATCCGGGATTCAATAGGCTAAGAAGCATCGTCTCGAGGCATTGAGAAGTAGAGGCATCGACAACTACTACAGGCATCGACGACTAGAGGCAATGAGGACTCACAGTATTTCGCCATCCCCTAGCAGATCGCTCAACGGCTTATCGGCGGGAAGCGTTCGCGACAGAGTCTGCGACAACCAGCGACGAGCTTGTGACTGAACGGAACGAAAGAGGGCACGCGTGCGAAAAAACGGAGGAAGAAAGAAGAGATGAAGAGCGTCGCAACTCTAGGAAACTAAGGGATACAGGAGCGAGCACTACGCTATGGAGGTAATAACTTCAAACGAAGCTTCGAAGCTTGAAGCAGAATGGCATTTCGCAGATCAGGATCGACCACATGACTATTGAGTCCAGCTAAATATCACCTACACCACATGCATCGGCAATGACGCGGCGCTACCTCTAAGTACTGCTCGTCGATGGACGCAGCTCCATTTGTTACACTTGCGACGGTAAGCGGAATGTGCGACTGCGCTGGCTGCGCCGGCGACGCGGAGAGGTCAGACGCTACCATTGCGACGACAAGCGACAGATTGGTTTGGCTGACGAAGATCCTGCGACGATAGCTCAATAACTTAGCCGGCCAGATCTGCGATGACGATAATATGTCCCTTCCACAGAGACTAGATGGCGGGTCGGCAACACCGTCTTCGCATCGACGCGCTACGACGTGCACCGGCAAGAGTTCGCCACTTCAGGACCGCCACCAGTTGCCTGATCGCAGATGACTCTGCTGGTTGGTCGATTCGTTGTGTGTTCACTGCGACTGTCGTTCTGTGTTCCTTTCTCGAGGAGCGAGAATGTCAGGGTGGGTAGTAAGCGGACGTGATGTGCGCGGGGCAGCGGAAGAAGCGCGCCAAGCTCTCCGCCCTCCTCTGATTCTGTCCTCCGCCAAGTGCAAGCTATCCGCGGACTTTGGAGGTGATCTTGATGGAGGGAGCAACGTGGGAAAACTGACGCAAGGGCGCTGATTGGCTGACCTCGAATTGGCGGCATTAGAGAAATCCCCAGATTGTCAGGCAGGGAAATGAAGGCCGTTACTGCCAGAGCAGTTAGCAGCAACGAAGCACATGAATTTAGTGTATTAAGAAAGCTAGCATAGGATAATTCTAGTAACACAATCAACTATTATTCACTATTCTAAGGGGTGGGTAAGCGGGAAACTTGACTAAACTGTTTGAAAAATGAGAGACGTGAGTGGAGGGAAATGACCTCCAGCCCACGTTTTGTACTCCAAAACGGGCGTTTAGCGCGGTTCGCCGATGACCAATGCTACATTATAGGCCGCTTCGCTTTCAAAATACACAATTTTGAAAAGCGATACAACTTTTAAAAATATTCATATTTAGAAGGCTTGCTTTCTTATTGTAGCAATGGCACCGTCTCATTTCAAATGGGTCTTCTGAGACATGTGCCGTGTCGGTCGCCGTTGGTGCGACAGCGACGTGGCGTGTTGCGCAGGGGTGAGGGATCGCGCTGGGTCTTGGACGTGCCTCGATGCTCCCACCAGTTGGTCTGCGGCAGGCGTGATGTACGTCTCCTTTGCGGTGTCGCTTCTACATCGTCCTAATCGCTTCAGGATTCGGTCAGGTATGCCGGCGTTAGCTGCGACGGTCGCTGCACCTTTCCGGAAAGAGTGGGTTCCGAGGTGCTCGAAGCTAAGACCGATTTTATTGAAGGCCTCTCTGCACCAGTTGCAAATTGTAGTGTAGAATGGTGGCTTGGTGATCCCGCCTTCCCCGCCCTCTTTTCCAAAACGCGGATGAGCGGACCTCGTTTCAATTGGTCATATTTCGCCAAGTGTATGAATTGTTGGGTGCAATGAACGGGGCAAAAAGGGCCCGAGCTTACAGCTACCGGGACCCAGATGCCTTCTCCTGCCTGGTCCGTCCTGGAGCGGGGAATTAGGAGCCACATGACTTCTGTCTCGAAATGAATCTCCTGCCAGTTGATGACTGCGAGGTCGGAGTAGCGCAGGAACCCGGCGTACATTAAGGCCGGAATTAGGCCCTTGTGAAATTCGCGAGGGTTGTCCGATTGTAGAAATTCCGATGCCATCGCATGCACTTGATGTAGTGACACAGGTTCTTTGGCCCGGGTAGGATGCGGGCATTGCTTCTTCGCGAATTACCAGACTTGTAAGGTGAATGGACCAGTGGACGGGCATGATGCACCGATCGACCGATGTGCGAAGCTGACTGCCGAGCATGTCAACTGTATTGCGGAAACCGTAGCCTTCTGCTGGATGGCGTGGACCAGGTACAGTGCGAGTGTCATGTCAGTGCATGGGAGGAATTTGAGCTTGTGTTGTTGGCAAAAGGATTGGAATTTGACCCAGTAGGGCTCGTACGAGCGGATTATTGAGTCAGCCCGCGTTTGGGTGGTGATCTCTAGTAGCCGATGTTTGAGTTTTTCCAGCAATCCTGCATCAGGTGCGAGCGTGGTTAGCAGGCGAAAGACACGCGTAGTGCAACCATGGGACTGCATGGTAGATCGTCGCCAGAAAAGGCGCTGGAGTGATTGCCTGCCGTCAGGCACTGGCTACCGTGCGTGAGGGGAATGTGGGTATGAATGTAGGGGGCCCATTGAGGGGGAGAGGGTTGCAGTAGGGGCCACCAGCTTGCACCAGCCCAGCGGGGTGTGATGAGAGTGAAGGTGGCGTGAGTTCGTTTCGCATGGTGGAGTACTGCCGGGATTAGGTGGGGTGGTGGGAATGCATATCCCCGCTCGGATGTCCAAGGGATGGAGAACGCATCGACCGCGGCTGCATCTGGGTGCGGTGTTTTGGAGCAAAACTGGGGTAGCTTGGCATTGCTCCCATTTGCAAAAAGATCGGTTGAATGTGGGCCCAAACGACGCTCGATGAGGGGGAACCAAGGTGTCTTCAGGGAGTTATTGTCCCGATCGAGCGACTTGGACAGATCATCCGCTTGTGTATTTAGCTCGCGCGGTATCCATTCAACCATGAGCCGAATCCGAAAGGTCGTATATATCTGAATGATCGACTTGCATGTCGTTGTGAGGTTATCGTGCCTCGAACCACCCTTCCTGAGGATGAAGAAAACGCCTTGGTTATCGGTCCTTGCGATGACGTGCTGGTCACAAATCCGTTCCGCAAACATTTTGAGCGCCCAGAGTACACCATCAATCTCCCGTTGCGTGCTGGATGCCTCCAGCAGGTGCTGTGGCATCGCCGCACTAGTCTCGAGACGCCGACCTGGGAACTTGTCCAGCGTCGCTCCCCAGCTGTGTGCGCTGGCATCCACGTGGATCACGACATCATAGCTGTTGGGGACGTGGAACGGGGCGCCATTAAATTTGTCAAATTCGTGGCACCAAAAATCCAGCTCTTCGATGGCCATGGGGTCAAGCGGCACCTTGCTGTTCCATGATGGTGCCTGCTGAATTGCGTGCAGCAGACCTTGACTGAATGCTCGCATCGTCGCCCCAAGGGCCAGTGACATGGATGCTATCATGCCGGTGACTGTGTTGCTATCTTCTTCTTCTTCTTCTTCTTCTTCTTCTTCTTCTTCTTCTTCTTCTTCTTCTTCTTCTTCTTCTTCTTCTTCTTCTTCTTCTTCTTCTTCTTCTTCTTCTTCTTCTTCTTCTTCTTCTTCTTCTTCTTCTTCTTCTTCTCTTCTTCTTCTTCTTCTTCTTCTTCTTCTTCTTCTTCTTCTTCTTCTTCTTCTTCTTCTTCTTCTTCTTCTTCTTCTTCTTCTTCTTCTTCTTCTTCTTCTTCTTCTTCTTCTTCTTCTTCTTCTTCTTCTTCTTCTTCTTCTTCTTCTTCTTCTTCTTCTTCTTCTTCTTCTTCTTCTTCTTCTTCTTCTTCCTCTTCTTCTTCTTCTTCTTCTTCTTCCTCTTCTTCTTCTTCTTCTTCTTCTTCTTCTTCTTCTTCTTCTTCTTCTTCTTCTTCTTCTTCTTCTTCTTCTTCTTCTTCTTCTTCTTCTTCTTCTTCTTCTTCTTCTTCTTCTTCTTCTTCTTCTTCTTCTTCTTCTTCTTCTTCTTCTTCCCTTTCGCGGTGCTCAACGAGCCTTAGGTGGGCTGCCGTATCGTGTCTCGTTTGTTTTGTTTTGTTTTGTTTTGTTTTGTTTTGTTTTTTTTTTTTTTTCACCTATAGCAGATACCTCCACTCTTTGAGGGCTGCTTCAACAATCCAGGTTTCAAACGTTCAAATATTATTCATTGGCCACACAACAACAATAATCCACATTTCATGCCCTTCCGGCCCATATTCCATACGCGTATATCTCATGATTGCCATTCATGGCTAAGACCTAGGACTCCTAGTCCTAACCCCTTCACTCGGGGTCGGACGGCGGCCGTTCTACACGCTCAACCGGTCTGGCCAGCGGCCTAAGCGCGCCATGTTGCCCATGCAACTGACAAAATTAGAAGAAAGAAAGAGAATTGAACTAGCAGAAATGGGGATACAAATAGCAAACCCTAGAAGGGTTGTACTCGCTATAGAGCACCCCACTACAGGCTAGAACATAAGATAACATTCTGACACACCCCCATAGCCAAAGTGGGGTGTAATCAGCAGAGCAGGCAAAGCAGTACAAGCTCAGGGTGGATCACAATGTCACCACACATTCTGAGCACAAGTTCAAGAAGAAATAGTTTAGAGTGCACAATTATGAGCAAAGCTAGTGGTAGTCACAACGGGCAAGTGAGGAGGAGGAGAGAGAGTGAGAGGAGAGGAGATAGAAGGCGGCGGCTGAAGCTGCAGACACACGGGCAACAGGAGTGGCGAGCACAGTGGCTACCGGACTAAGCGCCCGGACTACAGGAGCAACAGGCCCCGCGGCTTAAGCAGCGGCAGACGGGCAACGGACCCACAGGCGACTGGCGCAGCGACAAGCTCACTGGGCTACCGGGACAACGCCCCGGACTAC